ATGGTCTGGTAATGACAGTGGGGTTGGATCAAGGGTTGGACTTGATGATCTCGGAGGTCTCTTCCAACCCAGTTAATTCTATGATTCTATGATTCTGTGATTCTATGATTCTATGTCTTCATTGTGGGGTGGCTGTTTTTATTTTGGATTTGTTGTTTTGTTTTTGTTTGATTGTTTGTTTTTTTAGGGTTATCCTTTAGACCAGGATAATACAGTAAACAGTATCTAATACAGTACACAGTATCTATTATTCTACTACTTTTCTTTGCATCCACTGTAGTCCCTGTTGTGCCTGTCTCTCTTTGCAGCTTTTAACGAAATGACCTGTTAAGAGTGGTGGGTGGTTCTTATTTGTGTCACCTACTTGTTCCCACCAGTTCACTCAGGATAACTTGGTTTAAATTATGCTAGTCATCTAAGCAATATTGTTAAGATGTTGTAAAAGATATTCTAGCTCAAAATTTTGAATTTGGATCAAAAAGAGTCTGCTCTCAAGTTTGCTGATTTCATATATCTTTGTTCCAGACTCACCCTTATGGGCTTTCATGAGAGCTTCTGTTTGTTATTTTTCCCCAGTTGGTGCTGTCTAGTGCAGCAGGCGCTGAAGTGATTGGAAGTTTGATCATCGACTTTCATGAGGGAAACCTCAGGATCTGAGCATTTGATCTGGAGAGGGTGCTTAGCAGTACTCAAGCAAAGATCTGACTAAGTCAACGGGAGTTTTGCCACCTTCCAAAACTGCAGGATGGCACTTTGCCTTTGCCTTGCCCTCCCAAATGCTAAAGGGGGAAAGCAAAACAAACCAAAATCAACATGTTGTGCTCTGCTCAAACTACTTGAAAAGAAAATGTTTTTTAAAAATATGTATGCATCAAAACCTGTGGAGAAAATCAGTCCTATAAAATACTAAAAGTAGAGAACATGAAGCATACTTATTCCAGAGGCTTAATGCTCACAATGTATGAAGTTAAAATGGATAAAATCACTGTATGTTTTCCCAGGTTATCATGTCTTATGTAGGTGTATGTTAGCACAATGGGGTTACAAAATGGTAAGTTCTTATATAAAACTCTTCCAGCATGATCTTTAGGCTTTTTCTTGTTTAAGCCTTGTATATAGGGAAAAATGATATGCTCGATTAAATGAAATCCAGAAGCTTCCTAGGAAAATGGCATTTACATCCACATTAATGCCTCAATAGTAGTAGTATCAGTAAGAGATTCCTTCCCAGTGTCCAGGAAAAAGCAGCTGACAAGTAGAGATGAACATCTCTGTTACATATACATAATAACAAATATATTCATTTTTATTAAGGGGTGGGGGGGAAGTGGAAACCTAAGCAGTGGGAAAGCAGGTGTTTATTCTTCAAGGGTGGGAAGTTTTGACCTTTGAAAGGTGAGTTTCATCCCCAGGTGCAGTGGGTGCTGGCCCGGCCCACGGCTGCTGCCCGGGGCAGGATGGGATGGGGTGGGAGCGCTGCAAAGATGCGAGTCCGACACCAAGGGTGGTGTTAATAGCATGTGTCCCCCCCCAGAATCGAAAGTTGAAGGATAATTAAACAAATACCTCCAATACTTAAACACGTTCTCACATTTTCGCATGGCGTTCCCAGGCAGTTAAAGCTGCACAGGGGCAGCTGGTACCCGAGGGCTGCGGGACCTCGGGGACGGACTGGTTCCCGCTGGAAACGTGTCTGGGTGTTTGCGATGTCCCGAGGAATAAGATAGAGAATGACTGACAGGCCTTCTGAACCCAAAGTAACAGCTGGAGGCTACTGCTCTTCCCATGCAAGAGGAAAAGTATTGCTATAAATCGGGAATCTTTATAGCTGTTCAGCTGAAGGAAGTTTTTTGGCTGTAAACTGTCATGCACTGCAGCTCCCAGTGAAAAGACTGTGGAAGTGGGGAATCCTCTCTCCTGAGAACCAAAGTGCAATTAAGATCAGACAGAGAGGGAAGGAAATAAAATAAAGACAACAGGAATCTAAACCGAGGAAAAACTTTACAGTTTGGGCTTGTTGGATATTTTGGGGTGGTTGTTAGGTTGGTTTTGGTTTTTTCCCGGTTCCAAAGATTATGTATAAACTCCTGGAAAGGGGTGTTTTCTTCATGGTTATTTCAAAATTGATAGCTGGAGAGACTTCTTTTTGGAAAGACCAACTAAATTTGAGAGCATACATCATTTGTCTGGGATGAGTGGCTCGCTCATTTGCTAAGTATTAAATAAAACTTGAGATATATTGAATTAAATTGAACTCCAACTCTCTTCCTTTTGTCTAAAGAGAGCGATCAGTGCAAAAAGTATTAACTGTATAGATAAGTGTCTGCTGCCGAAGGACTTCCCATTTCTTGAGAGTATATACATATATGCACAGAGGAATTAGTCCTTCCTTGAAGCATCGATCTGGAAGGACTAAATGGTGTTTTAAAAACTCAGATCACCTAAATACACATTTAGATCGTCTCTAGTTATTTTATTTATTCATTTTTGGTATGGTTCATTTTCTACGGAAACCGCTCCGTCGCTTTCAATTCCGGCTGTTCCCGCTGCTTTCGGCTCTTAAAACACGTTCATTGTCAGGTGGGGTAGAGCTGAGGAAGAGCTGAGGCTGGAGACTGCCTACACGGGACCCATCATCACCGCCCCCACCACTCTCGTCCCCTTTCCCCTCCACGGACCGTACCCTAAAAGCGATGCGACTTCTGCAAGAGTTGAAAAGTCTCTCTCTGTCACCTGCACGGAGCGGGCGACTGTCCGTGCAAGTCCTTCTTCGGGGTTAGCCTTTCCTGGTGCTCAGCTTTTTGTTTAAGGATTAAGATGTTTGAAATGTCTCCTTCAAAGCACGAACCCGAAGATGGGGCTGCCAGCCCATTCGAAGGCCAGTGTGCTTTAAGTGCTCGTGGCTTTTGTTAGGTCGTGTTTGCTTGTTTTGAGTGGAGCGCCTTCAGTGAAATAAACACCTGATAGCGAAAAGATCATCTCCAGCTACCACTAGCAGTGACTACATATCAACTTAGTAAACTTTGTCCATAATTCCTTTGCAAATGCTGCTTACCCCTTCCAAAGAGCACAAAAAGCAGGCGGTGCTCAGGCAGAAAGAACTTTAAGAAACTTTAACGCAGATATTAATCTGAAGGGTTAACATTTTTTTTCGCGTTTCTACACAGTGGTTGAAGAGAGGTGGCTTGCGGAATTCGGCACATCGGGTTGAAGGGGGGAAAAAAAGCTCTGCGGAGTTAAGTTAATGGTGTATGAGCCCGATGGTGCTGTGTAATGAAAATACAGCCCTAAACTTTAGCTCCTAAACCAAAAAGAAACCGAAGGTAATAGTGGAAGGTCTGGGATTATTTGAAGTTTGACGAGGGCAGACACGCTCAGGCTGCTGCTCAGCTGGGTGCGGAGTGTGGAAAGGCAGGACGTGCAGGCAGGAGGTGTCTCTCCGCAGAAAGAGCCGGTGCCCGGACTGAACCAGCGTCTGCATTCTGCAAAAAGAACCTTCAGTGTGCCTTCCCCTGGCAGCCCTGACTTCCAGCTCCTTCTGCGGCCAGACAGCTCGACAGTGTAACCTGGGCACTTTCTCCTTAAATATGAAAAATCCCGGCAAAGATGATGCGCTGTGTTTGGAGAAGAAGAGGTGCCTATTTTAGAAACAACTCTGATTTTTACACCGCGCCCCTTCTTTTTCCCTCTCCTTTGCTCCCGTTTAAAGGACTTGTTATTGTTTAAAGAGACCCCATTGAACTATTTCCTGCTCATTGTCACCTCTCTCCCCCTCACCCTCTATCCAGGGATTCTCACGGAAAGGTAATAAACTGTTTCCCTCACACCACAGACCGCCACAGCCCCGGAGAATGCAAACTATTACAACACCGGCTGGCGGGAGTGCTTCAGAGCATCCCTCCTCTCCCTCGTCCCAGCTCTTGTTTTTGTGTCAAATAACTTTAAAAGAAGTTCAGCCCGCCGCAAAGTTTCACCCGTGAGGCTCAGCCTCCACTCTTGCCCGCAGGAACTCGCGGGGGTTTCTCCTTGTTACACGAAAGTGTAACTTTAGCTGTCGATCTGTGTTTTTCAGAAGTACGTTTTTATTTATGTGGGATGACAGGTAACCATTCATCTGATTTTTAGATTTTTTTCTTTTTTTAATATTTTATTTAGGTAGGGTGGCTGGAAACCATCGCTGTCGAGCATCTCGCCTGCGAAGGCGCTTCCTGTGCTGGTGGTGCTATGTGGCAAACTTCGACTTTTCTCACGGGTGGGCTCTTGGGCTCACTTAAAACCGGGGAGACGGTGTCGGGGAGTGCCCGTGCTGTGCCAGGTTCGTGGTCAGCCGCTTTACAATGCTGTTTCGGCTCTTTGGATAAATTTTACTGCAAGGTTTGTCGTTGCCAACTGCATCCTTCACTGAAGCAGTAGTGTCTGTCAAGGGGGCAGGGGCAGCGCGGGAACGGGGATGGGTGTGGATGCTGACAGCCTGCGGCTGCTTGCCGAGAAGGACTTCCCGTTTTTTCCCCTAAACATGGATCAGTGGCGGGGGTGTCTCCCGCCGAGGACTGACTGCCTAAAAGCGGACCGTGGGGCTGGCTGCGCCGGTGGCTGCGGCGGGCGGGTGCCGCGCTCGCCGGTTGTGAGGCTGTTGCCGAGATGGGCCATTTCCTCCGCGGCTGCCGGAGCCCCGGCCCCGGCGGCTTTGATAGAGGTGCAAACATTTGGGGGCAGATTTACATAAAATAGCCGCGTTCAATCCCGCGGGCCGCAATTAAACATCACAGGCCCCCGCGGGCCCCGCTGTGATATGGCCGCGGGCAGCCAATGGCGGGGCCCGGCCCGCCGGATCAAAGGCGCCGCCCGCCAATCAGCGGGGCCCCCCCGTGGTCGCGGTGATGTCACCGGGGGGGCGTTTATGGCGGGCTATAACAGCGCTGGGGCCGCCCAGGGCCAGGGGAGGCAGCGCCGGGCCCGGCTCTGCTCGGGGCTGCGCCACGGAGCTGCCCCGTCGGGCGGGCGCGGGGCCACAGCATGAGCTCCCCCGGCCCGGAGGGCGCGGGCAAGCCCCCGCAGTACCGCGTGGACCACCTGCTGAGCGCCGTGGAGAGCGAGATGCAGGCGGGCAGCGAGAAGGGCGACCCCACGGAGCGGGAGCTGCGCGTCGCGCTGGAGGACAGCGACCTGTGGCTGCGCTTCAAGGAGCTCACCAACGAGATGATTGTCACCAAGAACGGCAGGTAGGGAGGGAGGGAGAGAGGGAGAGGGAAGGGGGTGCCGCCGGCCCCGCTCCCGGCCGCCCGCAGGGGGGTGAGGGGGTCCCGGGGCCGGGGTTTGCGGAGTGACCCCCGCCGTACCCCGCGCCTCCGTGTCGCCCCGCAGGAGGATGTTCCCGGTGCTGAAGGTGAGCGTGTCGGGGCTGGATCCAAACGCCATGTACTCCTTCCTGCTGGACTTCGTGGCGGCCGACGGGCACCGCTGGAAGTACGTGAACGGGGAGTGGGTACCGGGCGGGAAGCCGGAGCCGCAGGCGCCCAGCTGCGTCTACATCCACCCTGACTCGCCTAATTTCGGCGCCCACTGGATGAAGGCGCCCGTCTCCTTCAGTAAAGTCAAACTCACCAACAAGCTCAACGGCGGCGGCCAGGTAAGCACTGGCACAGGCACCGGGACATGTCGGGCAGCGGAGCTGGACCGACCCAACCCGACCCCTCCTGTCCCTGCGGGGCGGCAGGTCCTGCCAAGCCCCCTGCTCACTCACCCTCTCCTTAAAGCTCCTTTTCATACTGCTGGGGTGAGTTGTGCTTCCCCCTCCGTCTACCCCCTGCACCTCCTCCCCAACTTCGTTCCTTCAGGAGACTTGTTCTTTCCACCGAAGATGGATGCCTTGATGTTTTATGACTTTCCTGTTTAGAAGTCTCTTTCTGATCTGAATAATGCCAAGGATGTGGTAGATGAATCTTTCTGGCTAGTGTGTCACTGATGTGTTAGTGACTCTGCAAGCACCTTGTCAAGTAATAGGGATAAGAATAACTACGCACAAAGTTGTGGTGTCTGTTCCCAGTGCACTTCTCCTTCTCTTACAGCTTCAGTTTTAGGGTTTATTCACACCTGTTGCTTTTTTCTTTTAGATACTTTAAAACCTGTGTGCTCTCTCTACCTGCCAGCATCTGCCACTAGTTCTGTCCCTGCTCACCTGCTCTGTCCACTTGCTCACAGATCATGTTGAACTCCCTGCACAAGTATGAGCCAAGGATTCATATAGTGCGAGTGGGTGGCCCACAGCGGATGATCACCAGCCATTCCTTCCCAGAGACCCAGTTTATAGCCGTGACGGCCTACCAGAACGAGGAGGTATGCACAGCAGGGAAGAAAGGATGCCACTACCAGGAAATTTTAAGTGGCAAAGTGCATGTTACAGAGCAAAATAATGGATTTCTTTTCAAGTTTTTCAATTCTTCCTGTGCTTTTTTTTTTTTTAACCTAAATATAAAAACTTGAATTAATGTATGTAAAAGACCTATAAATGTATTATAGCGTTCCGATAAAGTTCTGATCACTCTCTCAACATGTACTGCAAATTCTTTGTAGGAGAGTCATTCTTTAAAGATTCTGTGGGGCAAACAACTATGATAAAAAAATATGGTTGTCATTTTCAGCTACACAGGGAAATAACTGGATGTGCCAGTTTTGGAACGGCCCTTTTTCTGTTAGCCTAAATTTGTATCTATGTTGAATGAATCTGCAAATTACCAATCTTTCTGAGATTTCTCTGATGTCCATTTTGCTCTGACTAGAAATGTGAAGATTTTTATAACTCTTTAGTGTACTACCTTTCTTAGGTGTTTCCTTAGATGATCAATAAACCTGTGCAATTCAGTCTCTTAGAATTCGTCAGAGAAACTAATTCCTAGCCCTTTGATAATACTTCAGACCTTAAAGAGCTGTTTAATTGATGTCTGTAGGTTGCTATTATGGCCCTACTTTTATTTCTTAAAAGTAAGATTTTTACCAACTTCAGTGTATAGTCCTAATTAAAATCCTAATGTCAGTGTGATAATGAATGGTGATACTTGTGAATAAAGATATTTGTTGTTGTTTTTAGATCACAGCTTTAAAAATTAAATACAATCCGTTTGCAAAGGCATTTCTTGATGCAAAAGAAAGGTGAGAGTTCTTAATTTAATTCTAAAGTGTGGATTTCTAGCGTACATTTGTAGAGGCATATTCTTAACTAATGCAACACGGTTTCTTTTATAGAAGTGATCACAAAGATATGATGGAGGAAGTGGGAGACAATCAGCAGTCTGGGTATTCACAGTGTACGTTTCCTTTCATTACACATCATGAGCGTAATTTTCTTCCATCTCATCTGTTAAGTTAAGCAAAACTTGGAGACCGCTGTTTGCTGGCTGGCTTGTTAGTTCATAGGGAGAATAGTATTAACAATCCTTGTGATTGCGGTTTGTGCAGGTTTATGACTGTATAAACATTATGATCTCTGTGGTTAAGACTTCTTTTCTTACACTCAAAATTGTTTAATAGAATGTTGCAATTGCCTTCATGTCCAAAAAGACAAGTGCCCTTGTCAGCAGTGTTCACGGGGATATGGAGACAAAAGTTTATTTCATAGAATTACTGAAACAGTACTTATGTTTTAAGTATTTTAAGAAAAATATGGGCATTCGCCCAAAGTTTTTTCAGATGATTAAAAAGTATTAGTGTTTTAATGATTTCTGTTTTAACAGATGATTGTCAAAAAAGCCCACGGGCTATAAAGGGGGGGGAGTTGATTTGCAGTAGGAATTATTTTGTTTCAGAGGAAATACTTAATTTTTAAGAGTAGTTCTTAGCACTCTGAGAAACTTCAGAGCTTAGCTACAGATTGAGCTTGAAGAGCAATTTAGAACTGAATAACATGCTAACAATTACTGAGCACATACTACCTACATATGGCAGGGTTTAACAATTTCTGTGTTTCTTTACTGTGATTGTAATGAAATGGTAATTTAAAAAATAACGTTGGCTTGACATGGGGATTTTTTTAAGCTGTTGTTTCTCTTCCTGCCTGGCTGCATTACATACCCCTCTTACAGACCTGTTGCTTCCCCACAGTAGGTAGTTGGCTTATTCCTGGGACTGGGACTCTCTGCCCCCCTGCCAATCCTCACCCCCAGTTTGGAGCCCCCCTGTCACTCTCCCCTGCTCACAGCTGTGAAAGATACTCGTCGCTGAGGAACCACCGTCCTGCCCCCTACGCCACCCCTTACACCCATAGAAACAACTCGCCAAGTAAGTCTGATGTTACAGCTCTGTAAAAAGGTGGGGGATGAGTGGAGGGATGCGAACTTTGAGCAGTGGTATTGTGCACAATGCCCCAGAAATTAAGGTCGCTAAGTAGCTCAGTTTGTGCAGAAGGCTTAGGGTCAGCATTGCAAAGGAATGTCCCCAGTCTCTTTATGATGGAAAAACTGTCCCCTGGTAATTGATCAGACTATATTGAGCTGGCTTTGTCTTGTGCTCTTGAGTTCTTGAAACCATTGAGCTTAAACTTTTTTATTTTTTTTTTTTTAATTTTGAAAATAAGGACTTTAATGATTATTTATAGGCAGTACACTGAAATGAAGGTGTACCTCTGGTTCTGTTAGTATCCGTTATTATTAACACATAATAATTGAGGGCCTGATTATGTTAGTTTCAGTTGCCAATAGCTGTAGTTAATGTCCGTGCCATGACTGCATAAAAAGAAATAATATGGAGTTGAGTAAATTGCAGAGCTATTAAAAGTTGTGCTCAGAGATAGGCAAATATCTTAAGGCTTAGTGTCTCAAGCACTAGCTACTTAAGGGAGAAAAAAACATTTTTAATTGATTTTTTTTAAAATATATTTTCTTTCTTCTCACAAAGGCTGTATAGATGTTGTAGGTTCCCATAAAAATTATTTAATATTTTGAATTATGGAGTAATACACAGGGCTTCTAGATGCAGCCTGACCAATCTCATATGTAGCTTTGTAGTTCATTTTGAAGTGAAAAACTAGTTTTCTGTGGACTTTTCTCGCATTGTGGAAATTTTTATGCAAGTTTTGTGATTTAAATAATAAAAGAAGAAAACACATGTGGTGTTCCTTTTTGTTCCCTGGTCCTTGGCAATAGATAGTTGTATGGGATTCCCTTTATAGCTTCCTAGTGCCTCTGCTATATTGGCCAGCCAGTTTTGGTCACAAGCTGAGTAGTCTAAGCCACAGTCCAGTCATTCCTAATGGTGCCCAGGGTGGACTTCAAAGCCCATGGCAGCTCAGCTCAAAACTGGGATGTGTGATTCAGTAATATGCTTTTTATCCAGGTCTGCCAGACTGTTACTGCTGGCATAGGTGATGGAGATCAAGAAGGTGCCCTGCAAGGTCCCCAGGTGACTGGGACAGTGTCAGTAAAGAGCCTGCCTCTTCCCACAGACTGAATAAACAAGTATGGGCTAAATTAGCAGGTGGTTTGCAGATAGCATTTTGGCTATAGCTTCTTCACAGGAATAAGACTTCACAGTCATGAGTTGAGCAAAACAGCATATCAGGGCAATGGCAGTGAAAGGTTGAGCTTGACACAGCTGGTTGTGGCTTCATTTTCTTCATTTTTTTTCCTCTCTGTGTGGGTAATTTTGTCTTTTTTTTTTTTTTCCTTTTTTCAAGGTAGTAGTTGAGGGGGGTGGTTTAAAGCTATAGATTGCATTTAAATGCAAGATTATGTGGCCTGATTCTAGTGTGTTTAAGTGATTATTTGTTTTCTCAGCAGCCTATGCCGATAACTCCTCTGCTTGCCTATCCATGCTGCAGTCCCATGACAACTGGTCTTCTCTAGGAGTTACTACACACACAGCGATGCTGCCCATGAGTCACAACACTGGCACAGCTACCAGCTCCAGGTAGGATTCTGTCCTCAGCAGCCCTCAAATGGATGCCTTGGTACTTTCTAGGAAGAGGGGGCTGAAAAAGGAGATAGTCACCAGCAAATTAGAAATCCTTCTGGCCACGTGTGAATCATTAGTTCTCTGTGAGGCACTGAGAAGGACTATTCACAAGGAAAACTGAATTGAAGAAACAGAATTTTTTTTAATGTTTTGGTTTTGGAAATGTAGCTACTAGTGACAGCAGTATTTGATAGATTATGGATTGAAAATCACTTAGATAAACATTACATTGAATTTGATGATGCTTTCTTAAGTTTCATCTCCTTTCAGCATAATGGTGTTTTAAAAATTTATTTTTTTATTTCTTTCATTTTGCCCAGTCACTGCTTTCTCAGCCATCTCCATAAATCCTTGTTCTGCTACAAATGTTGGGGGCAGTGAACTGTATAGTGGAGAAGGAGCACACTGTTGGGGCAGTAATTCTTTACTTAAGCCTTGCCACTCTAACCAGCATAGCATGGTGGTGAAAGTCCATATACATGTGGTGAAAGTCTTAGTATTTTGTGATCATAAAAATGTATCTTTTTTCCTCTTTTTACTTATTATCGTAATTAAACTTTTGGATCCTTTAGCAGAGATTTAGCTTACAGTTAGTCCCTTGGAACTAAACTTGAGAATTCAAAGACAGACTGAAAAGGTGGTAAAATATTTGCTGTTAACCACAGAGGGACAAGGTTTGAACATCTTCCTCAACAATTCAGGCCTACCATTCTATTTGTGGAAAGCATTTTTATTTGAACCATGCACATGGACACTCGGCTGTTAATCAGACTATGTACTACTACTCAGTAGTTGTGGGTAGTAGGTGTGTAGCAGTAGGTGTGTTTATACATATGTGTTTGTGTATGTAGATACTTAGAGAAGAGAGAGTGCAGAGGCTCTAGTGTCCTGATGAGGCTTTTTTCCTTTCAAGCAGCCCTTTCTGTAATATCTGTGTCATCTGCAGCCATCTGCAGTCTGGCTTCTAACCTGAGCTGATGAGCAAAGAGGGCTGAGTTGCTGTTTGGAGGCATCCATCCCTGTCTGACTACAGAGGCACCCAAGGGGTTAGGATTCTAACAGACTCATGGCAGTGTATTCAAACCTGGCTGCCTCCAACAGCTGCTGTGTCCACCTCCACCATGTGCCTTTCCCCCTAATGCCATCATAGCTCAGAAATCAGTTCTCAAACCTCTGCATTTTTCAGCCAGCCAGTTCATTTCTCAACTTGGCTTAAAATTGGCTAGTATACCTAGTGCTGGAACCTGCTGTTGGAAAACAGGGAGATTGGATTTATTTGTGAGGCTGCCATGAATGCGAATCCTGCCTGAGGGTCCTTCGTACCTCACAGTGACTGGGAACTGCCTAGTGAATTTCATCATCTCCAGCAAATGGACCCAGCCTGGGGTCTGTGTTGTGACCTGAGAAACTGCCAGCAGGCGCTAGAGTCACTAATAACTTGTTTTGTTTATCGCTTTCCCTCTTTCAGTCAGTACCCCAACTTATGGTCTGTGAGTAACAGCACCATCACACCGGTGTCTCAGTCAAGCGGGATGTCCAATGGCCTGAGCTCCCAGTTTTTGCGTGGCTCTCCTGCACACTACACTGCTCTTCCTCACCCCGTCACAGCCACCTCCTCTGCCTCGCCCCTGTACGACGGCGGGGCACCCACAGACCTGCCCGACAGCCAATATGATGCCTCTGCACATGCCAGGCTGGCATCCACGTGGACACCTGTCACGCCCCCTTCCATGTAAACCTCGACCTTTTCCTCTAAGGCAGACTTTTTAGCTACTGAATTGCTTTAAATGCTTAATCCTGAAGGAAGACAAAAAGGAGACATGAAGGAAACTGCAAACAAAGCATCTGCACTGCTTTGCATAGAGCATCTGTATTATACCTCTTATAGTGAACAGTGCATCACTGACTTCATGTAGAGTTTACAAATCTGGTGAGTGTGCAATTCTGAGAGCAGATTCACTGCTTTTAATATTTTTCCTTTTTTAAAGTTTGATAGACTTAAGTTTTAAGTTTTTTACTTAGATTCCAAATTTCTCAGTGTTCTGATATATTTGGACCTGAAATTTGGCATTGTTCTTAAGTTGCTCAAAACTGGTTTTCAGTTAATTTTTTTAAATTACAAACTTAGCTATAATCATGAGAAGACTTATTAACCATCTAGTTAGAAGCATTCTGAAATATGCACAAATGTAGCTGAGGAGTGAAGTTTTTGGAAAATCATGTGCACTAACACGTATTTGCCTCACAAATACGTTGTGTTCTTAACTGTATGCTTATTTCCTTGCTGCTGAATTAATGTTGAGACAATCTGCAAGAACTATAATTTTCCCAATAAGAGCAGTATTAATGTTTGGTCTAAAAAGTTTTACCCAAAAGACTCCTTTTAGAGGTAAGTTTTGCTGTTTGATTATATAGATTTCAGAAACCCATCAGCTTAACTAAACATCTCATTTCAAACAGCCGGTGTCTAATTAGGAGCCCTATCCAAAACGTTTTGAGACATTGAAAATACATCACTGTTTTTTTGTTGTTGTTGTTTTGTTTTGTTTTGTTTTTTTTTAAATGGTCTTTGTCTCAGGCCTTAAGGGAGGGAGTTCAACACCTGGAGAATCATTGTAATTTATTTTATGTCAATCTTCTTCTCTGATCTATATTTATTATTTGGTAAGTTACAACGTTATTTTCTACATGTTAAGATATGTAAATAATCCCTCAACCAGCATTGTACTCTTTTAAGACAATCATGTGGGATATTTAACAACATGGATGTAAGTAGTTAACTTATTGTAAGAGGGAAATCTGTAGTTATGAAGAATTTTGGGGAAAAGTGCAGATACCCTAAGATTTAAAATACACTGGCTGCTTGACTTGCTGCAATGAACAGGTCTTCATAAAATACCTCCTTCGTGACTGATATTAAGTAATGTGATCCAAATCTCTAATGTAAGCTAACCCAAAACATTGGCTTAAAGCGTGCCCTTAGACATGTCTCTTTCTCCCACTGGCAAATATATGTCCTGGGGTAAGGGAGTTCTTCTGCATAAGCCATAATAAATAACTTTTATAATGAAGTGCCTAAATAGTGAAGCAAAATTCTGTATCAGGGAATTCCTTAAATAACTGATTGATGTGTGCTCATGTGCTACAGTGCAACTTTAAGATGGAAAAGCAAGTATTTGCCACTATTCTGGGCTATTTAGCACCCTAGGGGCAGGTCCCTGCACCTCGAAAGGCTTTGGCAGGGCTTTCTCCCTGCAGAGGGATCTGTGTGCAACTGTGGGCTGCGGTCTCCTGAGGGTGGTACTCCAGCAGGAGATGGCATCAGACGCGAATGGCTGCATGGCCGCATCCTCTGTCAATATGTAAATATTGATCTAAGTGCTCCTGTTTTACTGTGAAGGTACATTGTGTAAATGATGTAAGTGCATTTTTATTTAGACTATTTTGTAGAAATTAGCAACGTATTTCATTGTGAGGTTTTATACTTGTATTTTGGAAGCATAATTTAACTTGGAAAAAAAAAAGTAAAGATTCTTAAAACCCAGTGCTTGATTTTTAGTTTATGGGAGTGGTGGGAAAGGTGAAACAAATACACATCAGCCATATTGAAGCTGCACTATGTTGACCTTCCATGGAGCAGTTTCACAAATGGGTCCTGCTGCAACATGAAACATCTCTGCATGAAGGTTCAGAGGGTTCTTCCCTGATTCCCCACCCTCCCTCCCTTTTTTGTTTGTCCCTCTTTTTGGTAAATCCTTGGCTGCCTGATGTTCAGAGGTGGTACCTGCACTTGGTGTTGTGTGAAAGCTCTTTTCCCCCAGTGACCAGTCTACAGGGTAAATGCTGGAGCTGGATGCAAGCCAGGCAGCTGCTGCGTTTTACCTTGATAACCAGATTGTCAAGTGTGTTTCTGAATCCTTGCCCCCAGTAATAAACACCGAACTGCTGCCTGGTCCCTTCAGCTACTGAAGGAGTTTATCAGCTGACCTAGCACTACAGTGACTCTGCTTATAGCTGAGCGCACAAATACGCTGCTTCTGAAAGCTGGCATAGTGGGGGACCCCAGCCTGTGTTGCAGAGGGAGCCAGGTTTATGCCCTGCCCTCAAAGCAGATATGTCAGGGGAAAAGGATGATCAATCTGCCACAGATTCATTTAAGTTGGCCTTTAAGGTCATGGAGTTCAGCTCTTAACCCAGCACTGCCACGGCCACCGCTCAACCATGTCCCTAAGCACCACATCTACATTTCTTTTAATTACTTCCAGGGTTGGTGACTCCACTATCTCCCTGTACAGTGAAAGGGAACCATAAAGCAGGAGACAGGTGCTAGGTCTAGGGCTGCAAGCAGTCCCTTTGCATGGCCTCTGGCAGGCAGCCCACTGTGGGGCTTTGGTGGAGGACAGCCCACAGCTACTGCCCAGCATAGAGGTCAGCAGTTTCTCAGGTTCTTGCAGAGATTGCACTGAAGTAACAATTCCATGTCCATGTGGACAAAAATAGTTGGGGCTATTTAGTTCGATGAGTGACAGCTCATTTTTATAATAACAGGCCTGCAGATGGTGCCTTTGGGCTGTGAAGTGGAGGAGCCTGGTCCTGCTCCATGCTGGTACCAGATGGATCTTACCTAATTGGCTTTTTTTGGTGTGAGATTTTTTTTTCTCCTCCTGTACTTTCAAATTAAAGAAACCAAAACCTTTCAAACCCTTGAATGCAATTTGCATGCTGTTTTAAAGCAACCTGAGTGTTTCAATATCTGTCTATTCCCACCTGCTCAGTTTAGGACCATCTTTGTCCTAAACTGTGCTTTTTCTCTTACTGGGTTAATGTAGCCAAGCAGCCATCACAAGGTACCATCAGGGTTGTAGTTGCTGGAGGGGCTGGGCAGTCGGACCCAGATAACTCCACAAATACTTAAGCCAGCATGAAAATGAACTTTGTGTGACTCACCTGTGGGCTCACAACAGCAGCACTGTGCTATGCTCCTTCCTTGGCTGCCCACTGGTGCACCTCTGGGGCTGCTGGCAGAGGCAAGGTGGAAGAGCAAATGTAGCAGACATTTCCAAATGCTGAAGAAGACTGGTGTGAGATGGCTTGCCTCAAACAACACATCGATGAGTGTGCCTCTGCTGTTTCACTGCACCACCTCTGCCTCTTCGCTGCTCCTGTCACCGTGCTGCGCACCAGACAAACACTGGGGCTGCAGACCACTGTGAGGCTGGGGGAGGTCCTAATGCTTAGGGACTAAGCCGTCAGCAAGTGCTCAGGACTCTTAGGAAACCTATACTGTTTTCCCCCTCAATATGTTAATGCTTTTTTCCTTTCTTTGCTTTCCTTTGGGTAATGAATAATTGCTTGCAGTAAAAATCTCTGTAGACCCCTCAGCCCAGTTGTGCAGAAATGTCTTGCTCTGCCTGCAAAAACCATGTGAATACTCAGTGCCAAGCAGGAGTAAAGTGGGAGATTGGGTATTCCCATGCTTGTCTCCAGCCTGACTCTCCCCCATGGATGTCAATTAGATTTGTGAGTTAAGTGAGATAATACACATTAAGGTACTGCATCACTGATGTAAATATAAATAAATAAAAAGTAATTAAAATAAAAAAATTAGAAATAACCCCCCCTTCTTTACACCCTTCTGAGGTGTAAAGAAGACAGAAGCAAAAACATGTATGTTTTTTAAATCACACAGAGACTCCTTCCAAAGGCATAGATCTGTGAAGAAAATAGTTTCCTCTTCAGAGATTCTGGCTTTAGTTGCTCCTGTATTTCTATGCCTTTGGAAACTGAGATAAAGAAAATGAGGGAACCAGTCTGAGGTGTACATGGTGCAGTTCCAGTATTTTTCATAGTGCCTAGCACCTTGCAGATGCCTTTATTTCCGACAATGTCAAAGGTTCTTTGAGAAGATAGCAATCCAGACACAGGTTCTCCCACTGCACATACCACTGTGATATTGAGGATCTGGATGTTGTGGACTTTAAAGCCCAAGGTTATAAGACTGGGTACAGCAGTTGCTTTTGTAAACAGAGAAGCCACAGGGGTTCTCAGAGATCTCCTTTCGCCACCAGTGCTTTTCCATGCCCAAAATTGTTCCTTCTGTTCTTTGTATTCATTTGCATTCCTTGCTCTCCCAAGTGGACACTTCCACTTTTATTCCTGGGAACCACAGCAAACCATCCATACACAGAAGGAGTCTTTGTTAGCTAAAGTGCTGGCTTATGTTTATTGTGTTTATCATGTTTATCAAGTCTCAAGTCTGTCTCCAGTGCCAATAGGAGCAGGGTGGGTTCTGAAGCCCATTCCCAGTGATAGTGTCCCAGAAGTGGATGTTGGCTGGCTGTGTCCTTGAGTCAGTGTGGAAGCAACAGAGATCCATCAGAGTTTCCATATATTGTATACCTCCTGTATGATCACATAGCTCATTGCAATTCAAATTTCAAGTCAATCAAGGGTTCCCTCCCTCCCCATTTCCCACTGTTTTTTGGCTTTTTTTTTTAATGAATGGCACAGTTATACTTCTGGTGCTGAACTCCTGACATGTCTCTGAGCCTTGTCTCCCAAAGAACCACCTGAGGTGGTGCCACAGGTATGTGACCAGAGGACTCCTATAGATGACTCTCTGTACCTGCTTGGGCAAGCAGCTTGCAGATTTTTCTTGCTTTTCCCACACCTCTTACAGTCTTGCTGCACTACAAAAGTGGGTTACTGTTTCTTGATGCTAGTAAACTAATTAATTGTTTCAGTAAGTCCATCAATGCCAATAATTCTTCTGTGATTTGCAATTACTGGACTTGTACCATAGAGAGTTGGAAGGGTTCTCCTGAACCAAGTTCCTTAATTATAGAAAATCCTTTCACCAAGACCTTTTTATCTTAAAAGACATTTTTGTCTTAAAACTGTCTGGTAAGATTCTGGGGAGGTTTTTTTGTGTGCCTATATACCTGTGGCAAGTGGTGTTGCTTTTTTTTGATTGGCAGACAGTTGCAGCTCCCTTGCTTCTCATTGCTTAGAAGCTATCTTTTAATTGCCAGCTGAAATTTATCTGTAATAGTCTTATGACTGTCTGATCTTGAGCCAAAACCTATTCCCATCTTAAATAATTCTTCTCCCTTGGTAGTGTTTAAGCTGATATGTATTGCTAGGAAGTAATTTCTCGGCCTCTCTTTTGATAGGTTGTAAAACCCTCTCTTCTCCTCGGGTAGCTTTCCCTCTCCTGCTGGCCCTCTGTCCCTGTATGGCTTTATACAAGTGTACATGGTATAAAGCACGGGCTTGCAGAACAGCCTATGCAATGGCACACTGCTTCCCTTTTTCCACTGAAATTAGCCATTTTGATAACTTTGAAGAACACATTTCCACTATGTAGAGTACCATCAGTGATTGACTGGTCGTGGTGATCCACATCCTTCTTTAGCTATTTTTGCTGATGAACTCCCATATTTTGTCAGAAAGTATTATTAATATCTTGACTATGACTTGGTGGAGCCCCTGGTGGTCTAGTGGTAAAGGCGCCGCTCTATCACCG